AAAGGCACCTTACAACTAGTGGCAAATAGCTACTAGTAGCTCCTGGCTTCACTACTAGTATCAAGAAGCTACTAGAAGCAAGGCACCTTACTACTAGTGGCAAATAGCTACTAGTAGCTCCTGGCATTACTACTAGTATCAATAAGCGACTAGTAGCAAGGCACCTTAGCAGTAGCAAATAGCTACAAGTAGCTCCGGGCTTTACTACTAGTATCAAGAAGCGACTAGTCACGAAAGCTAGCCTTAGCTAGCTGAAGTTGCTCTTGCTTTAGCAAGTTAAATGATGGGTGGTCTGCCTTGGCTGCGTCTCCTGCTGCTGCTGCTGCGGGGTGGGCTGCTGCTGCTGCTGCCGCTGCTGTGGCTGCTACTCGGTTTGCTGCTGCTGCTGCTGCTGCTGTTGTGTTTGCTGCTGACGCTGCCGCAGCTGCTGCTGCTCCTGGGGTTGCTGCTGATCCTGCTGGGTGGTCTGCCGCTGCTGCCGCCGCTGCTGCTGCTGCTGGATTTGCTCCTTCTGCTGCTGGGTGGTCTGCTGCCGCCTTGGCTGCGCCTCCCACCCCGGTTCATTCCCTGCGGCTATGCGCTGTGGGAGCACTTGGACTTCACGTGCGCTCTAAAGCAGTTTTGTCAACCTTTGATTTGAGTGCCGATAGTCCGAGTGCACAAGAGCCAAGTGACGCTACCTGACTCCACATCGGTGGTGTACGAGGGGTAAGGCTATGATGCAAGAAATGCCGCCTGCACATTGCACCCAAAAAGGTGTTAATTTTAACTCCTTATTCGCACCAATTTTGGCCCAGCATTTCCAACAGTATGGCCTCACGTGCTCGCCTGCTGGTCTGCTGCTGCTGGGTGGTCTGCTGCTGCTGCTGCTGCTGCTGCTGCTGGGTGGTCTGCTGCAGCTGCTTGGTGTTCTGCTGCAGCTGCTTGGTGTTCTGCTGCAGCTGTTTGGTGTTCTGCTGCAGCTGCTGGGCCATGTAGAATAGAATTCGGCGCGAAAGTGGTGCAAAACGAGGGCCACATTTTGAACTCGTGTTGAACTGATTTGGAGGTATCTCATGCCTAGCATCAAAATCTTGGTTTGCTGCTACTGCTGCTGCTGCTGCTGCTGGTGGGTGGTCTCCTGTTGCTTGGTGGTCTTCTGCTGCTTGGTGGTCTGCTGCAGTTGCTTGCTGGTCTGCTGCTGCTTGGTGGTCTGTTGTTGCCTGGTGGTTTGCTGCTGCTGCTGCTGCTGCTGCTGGGTGGTCTGCTGCTGCTGCTGGGTGTGCTGGTGGTGCTGCTGCTGCTGCTTCTGCTGGGTGGTATGCTGCTGCGCTGGGTGGTCTGCTGCTGCTGCTGCTGCTGCTGCTGCTGCTGCACTGGGTGGTCTGCTGCTGCTGCTGGCGCTGGGTGGTCTGCTGCTGCTGCTGCTGCTTCTGCTGCTGCTGCTCCTTTGTGGTTTGCTGCAGCTGCTTGGTGGTAGACTGCAGATGCTTGGTGGTTTGCTGCAGCTGCTTGGTGGTTTGCTGCTGTTTGCCACACCCTAGCATGCGCACGCCTCCCCGCCCGGCTAGCTTTCATTCACCCCCTCTGGCCTCAAGTAGCAAGGCACCTTACTAGTAGCCAATAGCTAGCAGCAGCTCCTGGCATTACTACTAGTATCAAGAAGCGAATAGTAGCAAGTCACCTTACTAGTAGCAAATAGCTACTAATAGCTCCTGGCATTGATGCTAGTAACAAGAAGCTACTAGAAGCAAGGCACCTTAGTAGCCAATAGCTAGTAGTAGCAAGGCACCTGACTACTAATAGTCCCAAATAGCTACTAGTAGCTCCTGGCATTAATGCTAGTAGCAAGAAGCTACTAGAAGCAAGGCACCTTACTAGTCTTGGTGTGTTCTCCTGTATAGATTATTGTTATTGTTTTTCCGGGCCGGAGGCTAGGGCAAGTTGCAGTCATGCGTCGAGAGCTTGGAGTTTTAACAAGGGATTGAGTACATCCTCAGACATTGAACCAAAGTAAATGGAGCGTTTGGAAGGGGTTACCTGTGACATCAAAATGCTCCGAGTGTTTATGTGTAGCGGCTTGAGGTCTTCTAGATGCAAGTGAGGTCCCTTGAGGTTTTCATGGTCCCTTGTTCCCTCTCTCTCTCTCTCTCTTTCTGGACCTTGTGAGCTTCGTTGCAGGCTTCGCCTTAGTGAAGCCATGAATTCTTTTGATTCATGCAAGCATATGCCAGCTCCAAGAAGCGGAGTTTGGGCACCCACTTTTGGGACGCATTTGTCCCTTGCTCCAGAGTGAGCTCGGCATACGCGGCGTATGCCAGGTTCCTGGTGATTCCCGTGCCGACATATTTGACCAGACCCTTGGCAAGAAGAAGCCTCCGATTCTGATGGAAGAAACGGCTCGTCACGACAAAAGCGACGTTGGAGAAACGACGCGTCGACTCGAGACCACCCTATTCTTTGTTATTTTCTTTAAATGATTTCGCAGACACCATCCTTGCTTTGACGCAAAAACAGACACATGAAATTGGCTCGTGTCACAGGCTCGGCAGTGCGACCATGTGACTCTGAGGTTTTCAAGAGTTCGGCAACTTGATCTTGTTGATCATTCTGCTGCTTGCCTGCAAGTAGATCAGCTATGTGTGTTTTTGGCCTTATTGGTCTCGTAGTTTCAGTTTCGGTATTCTGTTGCGGTTCTTTTTTGAAGGGATTGCATTGCTCAACCAAGTTCTTCAGGCAAGCTTTCGTTGTTTGGGGGTTCATGCTGTGGCACGCCTGGCGCATTGGCTTGCTTCATAGTTTCCAGCTCTTCTTTCTCACCAAAGCAAAGTGGTCCAAGAACGTGCCACTGTTCAATTGTGTTTTTGCCAAACAGGATAGACCAGCTGAAGGTGATCAAACAACACATAGCTTTGTCATGATTTGCCCAAAGAACCATGGAATCACCGGAAACACCGCTTGGTAGCAACGGGCTTGTGGGGATGAACATGTTTTGCATCCCTTGACACAGACAACACCTAAAGAGGACTGATTGTAGTAGCGTTTCGTCCTTGTACGGGAACACAAGGATGCGGTGTAGCGCTTCAAGAAGACGGGTCTTTTCACTGAGGATTTTGATGTGCACACAAGAGCCTATCTTCTATTGCCTGGGCACGCCGGAGTTTGAGTCTGTTACTCAGATCGTGCTCCGGAGTTTGAGTCTGTTAATCGTGATCTCAAAAACCAACCGTGTGTTTTTGTTGGTCACAGAGGTGCAGACCTCGACCCAATCAGTGTGTGAAAAGTCCCGACAAAAACTACTCAGCAAAAAAACATGAGAGACATGAGAGGCGTGTGCGCCGAACTGTCGCACTTTGCTTATTCAACTTGATTCAGACATATTGTTCAGATAATGCATGCAGAGATATGCAGAGGGCGGCAAGAAATCCATGCCGGCACAGGCCGACCCCTCAGCTTCTACTGCCGCCGAGGCAGTCAATCTTCACCCCCCTTTGCGAAGCCTCGTTGAGTAAGAAGGAGATCTATTCCCTCTTCTCAGGCTGGGGGAACATTTGGCGTTCATTGGCAGCGCCTCAGCCTGGGGCCCTTAAACCGTTAATCAAATCGAAAACGCTCAAACGGTGAAGGCCCGGTTTCTGGTCCTTTTTGATGCGTCGCTTCGTGCATGGGCACTGGCTGGTTCACAGGACTGTTTAGCGGCTGTTACAGCGGCTGGAACAGCAGGAGTTTGCATGCGGCAGTCCAGAGTTTGGCTCCTCCTTTCTCAGTTTGGTACTATCGCACTGAATGCTAATCCTTCAATTTTATGCATGATTGGTTGACGTCGTCGACTTGAGGCCTTGGGATCCTTCTCTACTGGGCTTTGTTAATGGATTTCACCATTGTGTCTATGCGCATCTCATCCTTTGTGATGGTTTGCGGTCGAGTTCTTCAAGAGGTTGGGCTCTTCTTGATGCTCGGTGTTCGGTTACATCTGGAGGTGATCCCGCAGGGCACGTGTGGCTGTGGGACAGGTGGTGTGGGTGGTAAGATGAAGAGCTTGGAGATTTAGTGATTGGGGTGGCTCTAAAGTCCATGAATGATGGATTTTGCAGGGAAAGAATACTTGCAAAATTGCAAGATCTTGCAAATATGCGTGTGGCACTGTGGCGCGTATAGCGTACAATCCGTTTGGCTCTGAAGCCAATGATGTCTACTTTGCATGCATTTTCATAGATTGGTTAGCATCATGTTCCTTGTGTTCTATCCCAAATTCGGGAATTTCACCACCAGGAAGTGGTGCGTATACAGGTGAGCTGCCATGGTCGAATGTACACATCCAGACATCTTTGGAGCAAATTATCAAGGCAAGGCAGTGGTCACCAGAGCCCTCAATACTTTGCTTTTCTTTGCTTTTGAGCTGCATCGGCCAGATGTGCGAGTAGCAACTGACCTTCCAACAGCTTGACCTTTGGTTCAGAATCAGACCCGACGTCATTCCAAAGGGATAGAAACAGCTTCCCCAGAAAAGGCCTTAAATCTGATCAGATTTGCATGGCGTGATGTTCCTTTGCTACTGTAGCAAACCGGTGCTGGGGTGTTGTGTTTGCCGGTTGCGTCCTGAGGATGGCCTTGGTGTTTGCCATCCTGGCCTTCGCAACGTCCATTGCGTCCTTGAGCCACCAGCTGGGAGATTTCGACAGTGTGGATCCCCAAATCTGCGGGCTGGGTCCGAGGGTGGACCCTTGGCAATCTCGGATGTTTTCAACCCCATTCACCCCATCCGAAAGACGACAGGTTGGAAGTCTGGACGACACGAGACCGAATCGAAACGGGGACGAGACCAGGTCGAGACCACGCTCCATGAAGCTTTTCTCCACGTAGGTTCAGGTGTCCGCCCATGCGGGTCCGGTGCGATCTGAGAACACCCAGAGGATCAGAGGATGCGGCGACATTGGGTTGCCAGCAGCTGGTTTGTGGTCTAAGTAAGGCATCGAGGTTGATGAAGCGATGTCATTTGTGACTGATCTCAGAGACCGGGAACTTCAAAGGCGCAATGACGTGGTGCTGTTTCCAAAGTCTCTTTTTGACATATTCCTTTTGTTTGACCAATCATGACCGATCCATGTCCTCAACCATTTCTTCCATCTACATGCGTGGAGATATTTAGTGTATGCTCCAAGGTCCATGCCTTGAACCTTGCTGGGGCGTTTCCCACCCGAACTTGCATGAAGCTCCGAAGCCTCCCCAAACCGCAAAAAGCGCTGGACACCGTGGACCCACGGTGGTCCGTGGTCCACGGTGCTCTCCAAGCGCGAAGACCGATGCGCGGTGATGTCGGAGAAGCTGCCCAGGATGTTGGCAGACTCGACCGACCAAGTTCGACAGCTGGTTTTACATAGATTTACATAGTTTTAGAATGTTATATAATAGAAGTATAATAGAGTAGTAGAGTTAGTTAGATGACCAGCTTTAGTTTCTTCTCTCGACTCAGAGTCATAGGCTTCATAGGGTTGCAATTGATATCGCATAGCCGGGGCAAGCGAATTCCTGGCACCTGTCGCGTCTTGACGTGGCCAGGCATTGACAGGGGCATGTTTGCTTTACTACAGATGACTCTCAAGATGTACCCAACCTCTGGGTACTACAACATTCGAGCGCACTGGCTGCATTAGTGTGCCCCAATCCTTCGAAGTGGCGAACTGAATCCTTTTGTTCATAGTACAATTCCAAGTCTTGCAAAATGTCATATTTTGGGATGAGATGGGCTTCAGCCCTTTTGGTTTAATTGCAGTCTTTGGATCTTGGATTCAACTGGAGGCTGTTCAACACTTTCTCAACTCAACCTCGCAAGCTCAGATGTTCAAATTGGTTGTTGGTGTGCTTGAAAGGCACACACCAACAAGTTGGGCCCACCTTCCATAACCATATGTATCACTTCTAGAAGTAGGGAGGACCTCGGCCCAATAGGCCCCCAAAACCATTCTTGCAGATGTTTCCTTTAGTCCATTGAAAGTCAACCATCCTCACTTGGCGGGGGGGCAATCGTCGCAGAGATGTCGGAAAACAGCCACTTCGGCGCCACTTCGTCACTTCGCCCCAGGCCTTTTGAACACTTCAAAACAGTTCGTCACTTGATCCGGGAGTGGTGAAAAAGCTTTCACCCCACATCCACAGGAGGAGCCATGGGTCCTCACAGCCGTTTGCATTTTTGCCATCGCCATCACCATTTTCTTCTTGATGCTTGGTGGAGAGGAGACAGACATCCACACCGAACAAGACCAAACTTCGTTCTTGCGTGTTGCTTACCGGTCAACTCCTAGAAGCAAACCGGTTACACATCCAGTGCTTCATCAGAATAATCCAACCCATTCCCATACACGACCCATGGGACTGCCATGCCGATCAATTGACCCCCTGGCACCCCTGGCCTGATCGGCAGTCCTATACCAGTCCCGTGGGTCGCGTCTGGGATTTGTTTAAAGTTTAATTAAACAACTCAAACGCGTGATGTGTGTTTGTCCTCAAGTCCTTCCCCCATCATCCCCCCATATAGACAGGTGGATCAGAAATGGTGACGACAATTCGCTGCCAGAGCTGCGACAGAGTGCGACACATTCAGTGCCACTGGTCGCTTCTTGTTACTAGTAGTAATGCCAGGAGCTACGTTCGTAGCTTCTTGCTACGAACGTAGCGATGCCCTTTGTGACTAGTAGCTTATGGCCAGTTCTCATCTTCCCTCCCCTCCAAGTATGCTTCATGGTCCCACGAACGTTTTTGCAAAAGACATGAACCGCCCTGAGTTGAGGAGTTTGTGCCTCTCTTTTTGGATGATAGAAGCTGCAAACGTGTCCTCCTGCACAGTGTTCGAGAAACTGCCTGTTTCACGGCAATGAACGTTGACATCAATCAAAGCGATCAATGTTACTAAGCAAGGCTATGACATGGAAGCTACGCTTGTACTACGCAGTGGCCACCTGTTAACCTGGGCAGAAGCAGGCAGCAGATAGTTCGGAACTTGAGTAGGTTCCCACGACATGTTCCGCATCACAAGATCGAACACTGAGGAACTTGCTCATTGCACAGTTGAACCAGGCCTACCAAGTCGTCTACGAGGACATGCAAGGCTTTGCACGCTTGGCTCTCAGACCAGGTCAGGTGACGAGGACAGGCTCCTAGTGGTCTAGACCTTGACTCAACTGGCCTGTGATGACAATCCTTATATATCCTTATACACACCCGTTTTCACCCCACTTTTATATTACGTAGGGGGACGCCATCGGTTCACACCGATTGATGTGGTGTTGCCGATCCATCTCCTTTCACCCGAGCGAGTGATCCATGCTTCCGCTGGAAGAGACGTTTTCGACGATTGAGTCGTGGACTGAGTCATGTCGACATGATGTGACATCTACAGCATTATTTAGATGTGTATACACTATTAGTCAATATGTTTACTATGTTACAGACATATTATATATATATTCATAAGTATACTGTGCATATATATAGTATTGTAATTATAATACATAATATCCACATAAGTGTGAGGAAGGACTGGTCAGTATAAGGATGTATGTCCATGGGCTGCCAATGTCTTTCTCCCAAAGCTGATCACCCCATTGGTCAGTTTTTTTATTGATGATGTAGCTCCCTCTCCCGCAGTTTTCCCTCAATCTTTCCAGGGGGGCTCGATCTCAGATCTTGGTCTCGGAGGGTGTGCACGGTATCACTTCTTCGCCACTTGCGAAGAAGAAGCCACGGGCAAAAAACGCTCCTTTGTCGACCACATCCCTCCGCGCTCAGGTCTAAACAGGGCGTCTGTCATTGTGCCAGAAACTCAAAACATTGGGAAGCTGCGCATCGAAGGCAATGGGTCCAAACATATTTAATTACTGTAGGTTGCTAGGTAACCTGGAGCTCAAGTTTGCATGGTAGTTTATAGAAACGTCCGCCCAGCCTGACGGTCATGGTCCCCATGGCCCCTGGGTTTGGAACCCACAGCCAGATCGAAACTAAGTGAAGCAAGTATATCCTTCACTACGCTATCAAACATCCGCTGCTGAATATGAAGTTTGTGAAAAAGGCCATCCAAGGTGAGAGGAATGGTTTGCGAGGCAACTCATCCGTATTCTCTCATTCCTCACAGGTGGAGGAATATTGTTCTACTTGTTGTAGACCGTGCAA